AAGACTCCGTCTCAAAAAAAAAAAAAAAAAAAAAAAGAGGATTTTAATCCCAAAGAGGGAGAGAGGCAGAGGGGGAGAGGGGACCCTGCTGTGGCCACTGCAGGGGTAGGAGGAGTTAGCCTGGAAACCTCAAGAAGATGGTTGGAAACGGGATAGGGGTAAGGAGCTGGAAGAGAAGTGTCAGAAAACAGAATTCACAAGGTATGTCCTACTCCTGCAGTCCCCTGCCACCACTAGCAGAAGAACCACCAAGCTGAGAGCTGGTCACTGAGACAGATGACACAGGCCACCCTCCAGGGCTGCACCAGAGTCAGGGGAAGAGTCTTGGGCTGCGAGTCAGCCACCCAGGCCTCTGGCCTGGCTTTGCTCCTAAACATCAGAATCACCTCCCCTCTCGGTAAAACCAGGGCATTGAGCTACATCAGAGGTTCTTAACCAAGGGCCATTTTGCCTCCTACAAATATTTGGCAACATCTAGAGATGTTTTGGGGTGTCACAAGTGTCGAGGGTGTTATTGATATCTAGTGGCTACAGGCCAAGGATGCTGCTGACCATCCTACAACGCACAGGATGGCAAAGAATGATCTGGCCCCAAATTTCAACAGTGTCAAGGTTGATGATCCCTGGGCTAGATGATCTCTGATGATACTTCAAACATTAAAATATCATGATTTCTCCTCTTGGGGTGCTGCCTTCCAGCACTGAACACTTCTTCACATTCCAGTTTTAAGATTCCTCTCTGCCCATTCCACACAGTAGGCCAGGATTCAAACCAGGCCAATGCTTGCAACCCCCACCTGCCCAAACAGCAATGAGAAGTGTCCCTATGGGCTCAGCCCAGAAGGGCAAACCCACTGGGCTGCCTTCACCAAAGGACTCTGCAACCATCACGGGTCCTGACAGCGTGATGGAGGGGTCGGTGCCCGTAAGTGTCATTCTGTGATTCCAGCCTCCCAGCATTCCTGGTAGGAGTCAGGAGTGCCCAAAGAGATGAGCCGGTGTACATTCTCCCTTTACAGATACAGGAACTGAGGCCCAAGGAAGAGAAGGGACTTGCCAAAGGTCACATGGGGGAACAACTATGACTAAAACACAGACCTCCAGGTTTCTGCCCCAGGCAGAAAAGTCAAGAGTTATCATGTATCCCATCAAGCAGAGGAAAATTCTAGGGCCTTAGTTCCACCTTGAAATAGTGACTTCCCATAAGAACAGAAAGAGGAAAGAAGACCAACCAGGTTCCCAGAATGTTAGAGTTGAATCAGTCTACTGCTTCCCAAGCCTAACTACACTTCAGAATGATTTAGAAATCATTAGGAACACAGATTTCCAGTCCGAGCACCAGACATATGGAAAAGACCTCTGGTGCAAGTGCCCCTGAATCTGTACTGTCCAGAAGCTCCTCCGTGGACTGGGAAGCAGTGACCCCGTCCACCCGCTTCATTTTAGAGATGAAAGGTGGACAGGTACACCCCAAGGGTAAGAGCCTTGCCCAAAGTCACACTTAAAAGACTCTTCTTCCTCAGGTGCTTATCTTAAATGTCACTAGCCTCACACCAAAGCAGCAAGTAGGAGAAAGATGCCACTTGAACCTAAGAAATGCATTAAAGATACAAGCCAGGTAGACCCAGCTTCCCCTTTCCACTAAGGGGCCAGTCCGGAAGTGGGCCTCACAGAGCACTCTTGGGTATGTCTTCCTGTGTAAAGGGGAGATGGGACTTCTAGAAAGTCAGGAAAACTGGTCTAGGCTCCCCAGCTGGAGTTCACAAGCGTACGTGATGAATGCTCAGCCAGGCAGCTTCGCACATGGGACAGCAAGACGTAAACCCAAATTCCACAGCACGATGCACATCAACAGTACAGCAGAGACTGTTCTGATCCCAGCGGCCAAAGAAGGGCAGACTTCTGCCAGGGAGGAGGCAGACAGGCGCCGGGGTAAGTGTGAGGAGGTGGCCAGGTACTGGCCAGTTGGCCTGGCCTTGAAGGTGACCCTAGGCCCCCACCCTCCTCAATGGCAAGGACACCAAAAGCCAGTGGAAGATGAGGCAGATGGCTGAAGAGGTGGATTTGAGGCATGCCTGGCTCCCCTTTAGTTTGAGGCCTAGGAGGCAACTGGGAGTCAATAGGGAAACAGTCCCACAGGGGTCCAAGCCCTTGGGGTGTTTGTAGAAGCCGGAGCCCTGGGGCTGCCATTCTTTGAGGCCAGCTAAGGTCAGGGTCAATCTCTGGTTATGATAAATGAGAGGAATAAAAGGGCTATACACACGGTAAGAGGCAGATTGGGGAGTCCACGTACCCCGATGATGGCGTTCAGCTCCGTCATGGTGACCTGCTTGGCGCGTTCCACTGCCTGCGCCACCTGCTGCTGGTGCTGGAGGGAAGAGGGTGTGCGTTAGATGCAGCCACTCTCCTGGACAGAGGAGGTGACGGACTGTGCAGCACTGGCAGGGACTCTCGGAGAGGCCCAGAGCAGACAGAGGAGCCCCATTGAACAGGCATAGGACACAAGCAGTGGGGAGGGTGACAGGCGATTTTCCTTTCTCTTTTAGACCTTTGTCAATGAGCATGTATTAGTTTTGTAATTGAAACTTCTTTTTAAGTTTTAAAATAAAGACGCATGCCAAAAGATGGCTATTAGTCAATCATACACACACAAATTTTTCCATGCAATTTGCATATGAGCTGGATATCAGATGGTATTACAGGATGATTATTAGTTTTCTAAACACGGTAACAATACTGTAATCATGAAGGACGGTATCCCTGTTTTTAGGAGATGCAGTTATAGTTTTAGTGGTGAATTGTCAGAATATCTGCAATTTACACTCAAAGGATTTGGGGAAAAAGTGTATCTACATATACCTTACCCATATCTGTTTAAATAGAGAGAAAACAAAGTATGTTTCCAGATAAACAGATAAAGAAAGAAAAAGTGGTAAAATAAACCCTAACTTAAACCACGGACTTTGAGTGATGATGTGTCAATGTAGATTCATCAGTTTCAACAAATGTACTACTCTGGTGAGGATGTTGATAGTTGGGGAGGATATGGGAAATCTCTGTGAAGCTAAAACTGCTCTTAAAAAAATAAAGTCTACTTTAAAAAGTGGTTGCATTAATTCCCTTTGGCCTTGAGGTAGTACCAGCCACATACACAGCTTTCTCCCCTACTGGGCTGCAAGCTCCGAGGGCATTGTCGTATCTGATTCTTACATATTAATTCAATCATTTATTGGTCACCACTCTGTGTCCAAGACCCAGGAGTCCGTGATGGAGCTGACATGGTCCCAGCCACTGAGTGGGAGTAGAGGGCAGGGCCTGCCCTGGCTGGAGTGAAATCGGGACAGAAACAGAGCCTGCTAAAGTCGGCCCATCTGTCTGGTCGGCACCAGGGGACTTCTTTGGAGGCATTTATCTCAAATCAGGCACTGGTCCAGCCGCTGTCCCAAATGGAGGTCCCTTGGAAGGCAGGCTTAGAAGGTGGCATGACCACCTGGTCATGCTCCCAGCAAGGACACTCTGTACCAGGAACTAAGGTCCCCTTTGGGCTGGGGATGCTAGTTTGGATGGGAAAGAGGCACCCACTGCCCACTGATGGTTAGGTCGCACGCCAGAACCCCCATCTCTGGACTCAGGCAATGGTAGAGAAACAATTCTATCAGAAGAAGGAGCAAATGGTCCCTCTGATACGGCCCCCTGCCTTCAGACTGGCCGGAGAAGGCTCTGGAAATCTCCAGGTTGTCAGCTCAGTCAGTATGAATGGACAGGGGCTGAGGCTGGGGCTAGGGCTGGGACTCAGGCTCCAGTGAGACCCCACCAGCCACTGGGCTGATTTGGAAAGAAAAGGAAGAAATAATAAAAGGCGGTCTTACCTCTTGTGACAGGAAAGGCATGATCTGTGCTAAAATTGTATTCAGTCTCTTTGCAATCTCCGTCTGCAAAGGCAAGGAGACCACATGAAGCTCAGGCAAATAAATTAAGTCACTGAAATGTCACAGACAAGTGGAAATGCAAACTCCCCCCCAAACCACAGCCCCTCTCCACGGGGCTCCATCCTTTCTGCCCTCAGTCTGCCTCCTGCCAAGAGGCTCTAGCTAAATCCACAGCATGAAGAAATCTCTTTCAACTCCCTCACAGCCAGGCTGCCTACATTTTGGGGAGCTCCAATTTCCATCAGAGGTGGTATATATGTCTGGATCAGAATATAGTTTGCATCCTCTGGATGGAATCCCTAATTAAAGCAAAATGAAATAAAAATCAACCCCAACAACCCAGCAAAATCCATTATAAGAGTGAAACACAGTTCAGTGAGAGAGGAACTGCTCTGCCCGCTGGTGCCCAGTGCCAATAGGACACAAGCTCTGAGACAAATGGGACAGAGCTGATAAGTGGTCCTATGTGGCAAAGGGTTCCCTGGGACTAACCTCTCCCTCACCAAGATCAATCCATACCCCATATATATGCTACCAGCCTAAAATCCTACCATTAAACCTTCTTCTTTTTTTTTTTTTTCCAGTGAGACACGGTCTCACTGTCACCCAGGCTGGTGTGCAGTGGTACGATTTTGGCTCACTGCAGCCTCGACTTCCCGGGCTCAAGTGATTCTCTCACCTCAGCCTCCCAAATATCTGGGACTACAGGTGCACCGCCATGCCCAGCTAATTTTTGTATTTTTGTAGAGACTGGGTTTTGCCATGTTGTCCAGGCTGGTTTCAAACTCCTGGGCTCAAGTGATCTGGCCACCTTGGCCTCCCAAAGTGCTGGGACTACAGGCATGAGCCACCGCACCCGGCCAACACTTCATTTTTTAGGATACAGCACTGCCTTGTCTAAGAAGCTGCTCAGAGACGTAATTCATTAGATCCCTAATCCCTCACAGAAGTCAATCTTAGAAAGGCAGATCAATTCTCTGCCTCATCTCCCAACACCCCAGAAAAGACTGCATTTAGAAAGTCAACAGTTTCTACCAGCATCCTATGTAAACTTTAGATCTCAGATCAAGAGTGGTGCTATAAGGGTTAACTGAGTCCAGATAGAAAGGCCTAGAACCACTGACAGATGACTCTCAGAATTGCTTTTCTTATCTCATTCTGAATCCTGAGCCCGCGAGGACTAAGGTCCCAAAGCTGGCTTCAAAGCTCTCATCAGCACATAGCAATCTTTCAGAGACAAAACCATGACAACAGCCTTTAAAAATCTGTGAGTATCTGCATGTCAAATGATTCTGGATGAGAAATCCTTGTGCACTTAAAATAAAAACAATCTGAAGGCGCACAAATAGACCCTGGACTTCAGGAGAATTCCTGGGGCTAACACCCTCTACCCCCTCCACCCTTGGCCACTAAAGAGGACATCTCTGGTTTGTGGAAAGGCAAGCCATCAACTAAAGAGCCTTATGGGCTTTTGCAGGCCTGCGTGCTGGGCTGCCAGCCATGGTGGCAGGGCTCGCCAACCTACAGAGCCTGTCCGCTACAGTGGGGGATCCTGGTGGGGAGAGGATCAGGAATCACTGCTGTCAGCTTTCTGCCTGGAACACTCCAGCTCCTCAGGAACAGAGTCAGTGTTTCCCAGCCGGCACCACTGTTGGCATTTGGGGAGAGACAATTCCTGTGATGAAGGACTGTCACTCACATCCCAGGCCAACTGTGTCAACAATGGCCCCCACTTCCGAACTGCCCAGCTCAGACCCACTGGGACTTCACATTGACACATGTGTGGGGCACTCTAGCCAGGACACCATACATCAGGCTTCCTCAAACGCCATGCTATTGACATCTGAGGTTAGATAATTCACTGCTGTGTAGAGCTGTTCTGTGCACTGTAGGGCTTTTAACAGCATCCCTGGCTTCTCCGCCTCCTAGACACCCGTCATTCATACTCTAAGGAACCCAGGAGGATTACTAAATAATCATTATATAAATTATTAATCTAGTTAAGTGGGAAGAACTCTCCCAAACAGAGTCCTTCCTCACTCTGCTTATTTTTTCCCCGCCTAAATCAACTGATAGTAGGAATGGGGTTCAATGAAGCAAAAAAGTCCGGGTTGGATAGGGCAGGAGTTCTAGAAACAAGCATAGGCTGCACCTCACTCGAAACCTGCACAGAGTAACAAGTTCACTCACCTTTGAGTTCCCATGCCAAATAAGAATAGAAAGACATGTAAAAATAAAAAGCAAACAAAAGTAAACAAAAGAAACCAACCTGACTGTTCAGGAAGCTCACAGGTCCAAGGCCCGTTATCTCAAACAATGATAGAACAGTGCCTGGCAGACAGTAAGTGCTCCATAAATGTTTGGCCGAACGAATAGTATCACTGGCGTCTACGCATTTATTGAGACTTCATATTGCAGTGACCCCTGGCTGTGGATCTGGGCCTGCCCCAGCGTGGGCAGCATCCGTGGGAGGGGCTGTGGTGGATGGAGTGTTGACATACAACTGGCTGGTGGGTAGCCAGTGGCCCAAGCCCTTCACCAATGGTGTGGGGCGGCACCTCCAAGCCAGGCCAATCGCAAGTCACCTAGATGGGTCTCTGGCCACTGCCCCTCCCCATAGCCAGGAAGGCAGGGGGCAAGTTCAGAACATCCCCAGTCACTCTGGCTTCCTCAGCAACTATTAACTTTCACAGTCTTTGGGAGGGCAGGGTGATTATAAAAAGGTTCTGACTGTGGCCTCCTTCCACTGGCAAACAGGCCAAGGGTCAGGGTCTTGGGAGTTGACAAAAAAGAAAAGTAGCTGACCTTGCCCTTCCCCACACCCTTCAGCAAACACATGGCCAAAGGCTTCCCACAGACAGGATCTTCCCATAGGGCTGGTCTGGAGCCCAGCTCACTCTGGTTATGAGGACAAGGGATCTCCCAGGATTTATGTAGCCATCTGGGCCACCAGGTGACCACAGCTGGGTGGCTCAGGCCAAGTTCTCTCTCATTCTCACCCCTCCACCCTTCTAAAGTAGTTCCTGCCTCCCAGCACCACAAACAAGCATCAACTGAGGGCTATCACAACAACGCCACACAGATTCAGAACCTTCCACGAGCCTGGGGTAGTGGCGTTCAGGCTGTGTTTCCTGAGGCCCACGTTCCATGAAGAGAGGCCTCTCTGCATGGCAGGAAGGCCTTTGGCACGTCACAAGACAGGACTCTGTAGGGTTGAGGCAGACAGAGGGGAGGGGCTGGGTTTACGTTGGGGGAACCTCCTGGTTCATGGTAAAAGTTGTCCTAACATAAACCCAGCCCCTCCCTTGGGAAAGGGGTGTGAAGCAAGCACATCCCATCCCTCCCAGCTGTCACTGTGCCATCATCTCCTAGTACCCTCTTGGGGTCTCCCCACAAAGTAGAAGCAGGGATTGGTCCTCCCCCATCTCTACAAAGGTTGCCCAACCCTGAGAATGGGCTGCGTGTACTCTGCAGAGTCAAAGCATGAACAGGAAAGCTGTCTGCTCAACATTTTTAAGACATGTTTATTTTTTGGAGGGTGGCGCTTGGGGCAGGGGAAGTTCCTGGAAAGGAAAAGCTGGCTTAACAGAAGCCCTCCTAACAACAGTAATGGCCGCTGACATCGCCCACCCAACTTGCCATGTGTGCATCCACAATAACCCCACAGAGAAGGCGCTTGTCAACATCTCCACTTTTCAGATGGGGAAACTGATGCCCAGCCATTAAGTGACTTCACTAAATGACTTCTTACCAAGAAGCCGAATTTTGACATTTCAAGAGAGCTTAGAGAAATATTTTTAAAAGAAAAACCACCATTAAGGTTAATAATTGACAGCACTTCTGATTAGAACAGCTGTTAAAACAGCATTGGATCCAACTCAAACAAGCTCTAAACATCAGTTCCAAAAAAGGGGGAAAAAAAAATTGTTGAAGTGTGACTTCAACAATTGGGACAGGTCACAAATCACAAACTGGAACTCGATCATACGTTGGAAAATTCCTTTTGGCAACTCGGCACAATCCGTTGTTATCAATAAGCCGGCTGTAGTTTCCAGAGGCTGACCTCCATCCTTCCCTCCATCCCGGTCCCACAAAGCCACTGCTTTTGAGCTGGGTCTTCAGAAGCGAACCTGAGACGTGGTGGGAGGTGGGAAGACGGCTCCCTTTGGAAAGCACTTTGGAAAAGGTGTTCAAGGAGGCTGGTGCCGCCTTTGAAAGTTTCTTTTCAAGTATGGTTCAAAGCAGGCGGCTTTGTTGGTGGAAAAACATTGTTCCTCAGAAGGAACTAATCTACTAGATACAGACAGAGAAGCAGTTCAGAGAAATGGGGACAGAGGTCCTGCTACATTCAGAATCTGTACTACCAACTGGGCGCTGGGAGTAACATCTGCCCTGCATCTCTGTCGAGATTGTTAGGCAAATAAATGACAGAAAACAAGATAGTGGGGGGCAAGGGTAATTTCCCAAAGAGCAATCTGTTCCATGCGTCTTAGTAGCTCCCATTTGCATGATCATCTCCTCATTAAAGCAGGACCTCTGAACATCTTGCTGTAAACCGAGGGTACTTGAGCATTCTAAAAGTCTATTTCTCTAACCACAGTCTAGTATTCATGTTTGCTGCTACTTCGGACTATCCTTGGCCCTTGACCCAAGACACTAAATTAAGGCAGATGGAGCCTGCTCTTGATCTGTACCCCCCAGCAACCTCCTGCTCCTGGGCTTGCGGCACCCAGCCAGTCCTTGCCCTTATTTTTAATTTAGGTGACTGTGTTCAACACACAGTCGAGAGTGACTTCCACCAGAGGGTCTGTCTGCTAGTTAGTTTTAAACTGCCCTGTCCTGTGTACCTGTGGACTCTGAATGCACAATTCCTTTTAAACTCAGCCAAATAAGGGCAAGGAGAAGAGAAAGCTGCCCCTTTAAAGAATGTGGCATGCTGCAGTGCCACACAGAAATAAGCTGGCCTCTACCTCCAATTCTGCCCCCATTTAGTTGTGTGGCTT